CATCTCCATAAAGAGAGAGAGAGAGAGCAAGAGAGAGAGAGAGACCTGCCATCTCCACAGAGATGTGTCTGATCTCCTGGAGAGTGATGAGAGAGAGGGAGGGACAGAGATGGCTTGTCATACCTCCATCTTGGTTTGGATCCAGGGCCCGATGACATTGGCCTGGGCGGCGAATTGGCGCCGGAGTCTCTCGTTCGCCTGCTGCCGGGCCAGCTCCTCCTGCAGCATTTGGTCTCTGAGAGGAACCAGCTGTTTGACCTGAGGGCATAGGATAAGGGTCAGGGGCCAGAGGTCAAGGGTCAGAGGTCAGAACAGTCCTAAATAACCCACTGCCTTTCCAACAGGGAGGGATCCCGAGTCCTACAGCGTGGTCTTGTTGTTCCGCTGCATGTGCTAGTGACTGCAGCGCGATCGAGAGAGATCTGCTAACAAACAGTAAACCCTCCCTTTCCCAGTCTTCGGATCAAGCTCACAAAATCTGCTGACGGGGACTGAGATGATGATATTACAAGAAAGTGGCAATAACTTTTACCCAAGTTTCAAATTCAGGAATGTCAGTGGTGCCCTTAAAAGGTGTGTCAGTTGCTTGTGTTTCGCCATAGTACACAGTGCATTCATGACACGTGACATGACGAGCTGCATTATAAAAAGGCACAGGAACAGTTTTCATTGACCGCGGAAGGCACATGTTAAAAAATAAAGTCCAGTAAGCATATAGTGTACAGTATATAGGGTTTTTTTTTCTCATACAATAGAGTGTCTGTTAAATCATGAATGAATCCTGCCCTGTTAGTCCGATAAGCCAAGGGTTTACTGGGCTTACTGGGTGTGACGCCTGTGCTGACCACCGCTGGTGCTGGATCCCAGCACTAGGACATTAAATAACCCGAGATCCCAGCAGCCAGCGCACAGATCAGCAGCGCACAGAGGGCCGGTACTCACCGCCTCCCACTTGTTGCTGATGTCCTGCGAGGAGAGGTTGGTGTAGGGGTTGATGCCGGAGAGCTTGATGCCGTAGGTCTGGGCAATCTTCAGGATCTCGCTGTGGATGCCCATGGTGGCCATGCGCTCCTTGTCGGCCTCGGGCAGGGTGGCCTTGAACTGCTCGTGGGCTGTGATCAGGCTCTATGGTGGGGGGGGGGGTTTGTGAATTATCATCATCAGGAAACCAGTTACGTCTCGATCGACTAAGACATCAAAAGAACAAGCAATGACCAGTACCACCAGATCCATTTTCAAACCACTCGATCCAGTTCAGGTTCGCAGGAAAGCAGGAGCCTATCCCAGCAAGCAGCGGGAACGAGGCGGGGTACACCCTGGATGGGACGCCAGTCCGTTGCAGGGCACGCCCACCAGGGCCAGTTTTCCCATAAAACTATGAGCCTCCCAGCACGGCTTTGGACTGGGGGAAGAAACAGGAGCACCCAGCAGAATCCTATGCAAACACGGTGAGAACATGCAAACTCCACACAGACAGCCCCCCCCCGGGAATTGAACCCAGGGCCCTGGCGCTGTGATGCAGCACTGCTGACTCCTGCTGCCCTACTGCAGTATCAGGAAATGAACAGCCTCTTGGCAATTCATCGGGAACGACCGGGGTCTCCTACCCCCGGCTCCCCGTCCTGCCCCCGCCCGTACCTGGATCTCCTCGATGCTGTGCACGATGAACATGTCCTGCAGGTCCTCCATGGCCCCGTCCATCCAGTTGTTGAAGGGCGCCGCCCTCTTGGCGAACTCCAGGTACAGCTGGTCGATCGTCTCCCACAGCTTCTCCACGCGCTGGAACCCACACGGCCCGCAGGGGTTAACAGGACGGCCGACCGTCTCCGCCACCGCCCCGTCCGCCCCGCCGGTGGACCTCACCGATGCCCTTCGGCACCCGTACGGATCCGGCCGACCCATTCTACCGTTTGTAATCGGGACACCCGCGAGCGCTGCGCCCAAGAGCCGATCTAAAATCGGACCATCTGGAGCGATGACGAGGGATAGCGTTCACCCTCCGTTTGGGATCGAAGAGACCGAGTTCCTTCCATGCCTCCACCCCTGTTCCTCTTCTCGTCTCTGGGCTCTCTAAACCAGTGCCAACACGCACGCCGCACTCCTGGCACTACCGGGGCGGCAGGGCCTTGTACAGTACCTCCAGCGCATCTCTCCTCTTCTGGGTGAGGGTGCCTAGATTGTCCCACTGGTCGCAGATGCCCTGGCAGCGGGAATTCACAGTGGCGGCATCGTGGTAGTCCAGTTCGCTGGGTAAGGGCAGAATGCGAGTCAGAGAGAGCTGTCGCCGAGCTGGCCGTTGTCAAGGCAGGCTCCTCCCCCTAGTTACAGCCCCCGCCCCCTGGAATAGAACTGCCTGGGTGTCCCCGCCCCTATTACTGTGACACGCCCACTTGGGGGTTAAGCCACGCCCCTACACCTCCCCTCCCCTCTCTCTACCTCTGTCACCCCCCCCTCTTTCCTATTCGTCCTCCCACCCACCCCACTCCCTCCCGGAAGCTTGTTCCCTCCCTCCCTCACTTGAGCTCCTGGGCGATGGCGGCGATCTGCTCCACTCTGTCCTGGTGCGCGGCCAGGTCGCTCTCGAAGGCCTCGTGCTTCCTCATCAGGGCGCGGATCTCCATCAGCGAGGCCGACTCGTAGTCCTTCTGCGACAGCAGTTCCTCCTTACCTGCGGGACAGGCGGCACGCAGGGCGTCGGACACAGAGCCATCGGCGCACCCCCCTGCCCCCCGCCCGCTCCCCGCCCACGCCCCGGCCCGGCCCGGCCCGGCCCGCACCCCTGGTCCAGGTCTCGTGCAGGGCACACTTCTGCTTGAACTTCTCCGCCAGGTGGTCGAGTCTCTCCAGCCGCCTGATCTCGGTCAGCAGCCACTCCTCGTAGCCCTTCTCCACCTGCTCCAGCCCCTTCCAGGCGTTGGCGATGTCCTGAGAGAGGAGAGGGGGTACGGGGGTAGGGCGTCACTGAGGTCAGAGGTCAACCAGAGGGGGCAGGATCGAGTCACGGAGGTCAACCAGGTGGGTCAGGAGTGAGTCACGGAGGTCAGAG